GGTCAAAGCGAGCAGAGGACAATGAATTTTATTTTTTTTTTGTATTATAAATCCACATAGAGTGCCGAGAACGTACAAAGGATGGGCATAAAAACTTTTTTTGTATACAATATATATATGCAGCTAGTGTTGGGTTTTAAGCCTGTTCGAAATGAGTTTTGTGCCTGGCATGCAAAAATAATGTCATTGATATGGGCGAAAGGAAGCTGACCAAAAGTTTGGCACAGGAACGGGAACAGGATGTGGAGGCTTCTGGTTGAGCAAGTGTTAACAGCTAAAACTTACAGGTGTTGCAAAACTGGCCAAGTCTTTCGCCCAAGTTCTCTTTGGCCAATGCTCACACATTAAAATTGCTGGTAATTTAATTAGATTCGGTTTCTGGCAGCTGCGGAAACAAAGGCGGTAAACAATTTTCAATTTATTTAAGCGATACCTTTGGCACACCTGCAACCATAACCAAAAACCAAAAGATGTGGAGTGTGTGTGTGTGTGTGGAGAAAAGCAATGCAAAGCACCAGCCCAATTGAATTTAATGAAATCTAATCAAGCAGATGGCTTCGCTTTTTTTGTTTCTTTTGTATACTTGCGCAGCGCTTTGCTTAAAACATTTTGGTCAATCGATGCCGAAAAATGAAGTGGATTTTCAAGCGTTTTTACCTCTGCTGAATAAGTTACAAACTCTGCGGCCTGTGGTCAACCCTAACCCCTGTAATAACCGCAGCCGGGTTTTCAAAGGGTTCGGTGAGCGGTCCTTTATAGAGACTCCTCTACGATTTTGCTCGGCATGCACACAATGTGGGTGGCATAAGCACCGCCCCACCGAAGAAGTTGTCATATATGTTTGGCCAAAGTATTTTCCTTGACCTGTGTAAACTTTTCGGGCATTCCCAGGGTCCACAAAAGGTCAGACAGCTGCTAAAAGGCTTCGTGTCAGAAAGTTAAGCAATAAAATTCACACTGGCAAATAAAAATACAGCAAAAGTTACCCAAAATAAAGGCTTAGAACGACAAGGCTTTTACTTAATAATCCTCTTTCCGGATCTATGGCGTAACAAAGTGTATTGCATATTAATTGTTTTTGATAATACTTAAACTTTCTCCATTTTTTAAAGCGTGGCCTTTATATTCAGCCAACCTGTCATCCTATAACCAAAATTGCTGGCTGAACAAATGAAAAGCACAAAAACAGAAGAAAATGGTTAAAAAATCTGATATATTTCTATATTTAGATGCATTTAGATATCCATATATGATATTTTCTATATTTCTACTGTATTATTTAGGGCCTTGATTATATAGTGTTCTGACGCTTTTAAGATTTTGTCTATATTCATAACATATGCTTAATACAATATCTTGAAAAACAAAAATGTCCTTTGAATTGGATTCGGAGGTGTCTCCATCTATGTGTGAAAATTTATCTTATTAATTTACAATGCACAAAGTTGTTCAATAAAATTTCACTTAGAAAGAAATAAGAAATACTTATGTACAACGTGCTATAAACATGAGTTGGAGCTTAATAAGCTGCTATAAATCTGTGAACATAAATTCTATTGTGACCCAAAAGGTCACGGCTATGCCTAGGAAACTGTGCGCATTGACTGTGAGCTTTTCCACGCCGGAAAGCTTTCGTATAAAAGCGACATTATTATCCTCGTCACGAACCAGCTCAAACAATATAAATACGCCAACGTACTAAATTAACTGGCGACCGATTCTTACCTTATTTAAATATGAAGATCTGAATTCAATAATGAATAAAATCACTCAAAAAAAACTAAAGTAATTTACAAATCAAGCGACAATAACAAATAAAGCCAACTGCGGCTATCTACTAAGTTTACAAATATAGATTACTGATTACAGTTTACTACAGATTAACCTGTCAAACTCAAAACTGATTCCATTCACATATCCCACATAGCTCCGGAAAGCTTGAGTAATTCAAATGCGCTAATTATTAAGTATAACGATAAGGATATAGCTAAGCAAAATTGAATTAAACACTTAGTAATAATGTTTTAGCTAAACAATATAAAAGATATCTTTATTGCCTGTTAAATGTATATTTGTGTCTTATAGTTTAATTCCAAGAGTAATATTATTTACAAAATGCCTATTAAGCTAATTATATTCGGATTCGTATTCGAACGAAGTCTCTGTAATTATGTAATTTTACAATTTATTATTTTTTTTTAATATGTCGCAGTCATTGCGAGGCATCTCATTTCCTGCTTTGTTGGAATTTGGTATTAAGCTGTCAAACTTAAAGCTGATTCCAGTCGCATATCCCACAAAATCCGAGCAAAGCGAGCTCAAGTAATTCAAAAATGTTATATATTATTTGTATATTAATATACTTAAAGAAATTCCCAGAATCGCCCGATTCAAATAAGACGCCTATTTTATATACAAAGATACAAATTATAACCTAGGCCCTAAGCCCTAAGCCACGCAGGCGCATGACGTCACGTTTGCAAAGCAGATTTATATGGCCGGGTTGCTTTTGAAAATCTTTGACTACCGTTTGAAGGTCAAACCTTGTGCGTTAATCAGCAGGCAGTCAGGACAAACTGAACAAATTATAGATAAAATTAGCCGATTGGTGCCGTGTTGCCCTTTATTTTAATAATATTGTCTTATCAATTTCTAAAATACAAATAAAATTGATTTATTCTACTAGTTGTATTTGCATAGGTTATCATGTGCGTGATGTACCGCATTTTATTAACCATCAATATATAAGTTTGTTATTTGATTGCTTTTAAACTGCGCCTTTCAATGCTTGCGAATGTCCTTGTCTTACAACTATCAGCTATAAATAAAGCAATAAATAACTTAATCATTTGTAAACAGAGCTTGACAAAAAAGACAATTCTCGATAAAGAAAGAAAAAACCAAATCAAAACAACAACAATGACAATGCGAATGGAAAAGCCGCCCGGCAAATTCCTTAATAACAAAAATCAGCTGTTCGGCTGGCGCTCTCCGAAAGCTCGTAGAGTTTACTTCAAAAGCTGCCGCATTCAGTTAGCAAGCGGGTCAACGCTGCGTATGCGTTACATTTCACTTTCGATGCGAGCAGAGCCGAAAGTAAGCACGACAACCGCGACGACGAGGACGCGGGCGAGGATAACGATTGGCGGCTGCTGCCACAGCGTTGTCTTTTCAATTTCAATTTCAGTTCTCGTAACAAACTCAACGCGTACAGTTCTGTGCCACGCGACGAAAACAGGCTCCAACTCGCGCTAGTCGCGTCCGAATTTCAGCTGAGGTAGTTGTTGTGGCTCTTCTACTTGCGGCCCCGATAAGCAGGCAACGCGAATTGTGCAAGAAACGGTCCAAGTCAACCACTCGATGGCAAGTGGCGGCCGCAGCCACAACTTAAAGTTCGTGTGTGTGTGTGTGTGTGTGTGATTGTGTGAGTGTGTGTGTGTGGCTGAGTGTGTGTCTGCGTCTCGCGTGTGTGCCTGTTATTGTCTATGCTTAAGGCTTTAACATTGCCCGGCCAGCATTTGTAGGTTAGCGCCCGAGCAAGCGTAAGATTTTTATGAATGAATTCAAGCCAGCAAAGGCAAACGCCTCGACCTCTGTGGCAATTGTGTGATGTGGTCTGAAAGCCATGGCGTGCCTGGCATATCAATAGCATTGCTTTCGCCCATTTCCGCTCGCATCGACACCGATATGGGCGTCGTCATCATTGGCATCAGCTGGTGTTTGCCTTAATGAGCTGCCATTGCGGACAAAGAATCTCCAGGCCGTCGGCTGTGTTATGCAAACTTTCTTGACGGAAGCCCAAACACCCGCAGTTGGCAGCTCAAATTGGGGCTTTGATATTAATGGTCCACCGAGAAACAAAATGTTGCATTGCATTTCTTGAGAGATTAAACTGTTGACAGTGTTTACTTATTAGCTTCACAGTAAATATAGGAAGAAGCTTAGAGGCGTCGTTAGACATATTTGAATTATGATCATTACCTATAATTATCGATTACAATTTACAGTCAGGGCAATTTATAAAATCATAATGTTCTTTAATATTTTACAATTTTTAATATTTTCCTTTGAACCTAATCGTTGAAAAAAACTGTTATTAATTATTTAATAATTAGCCAGGGAGAGATGCGGCATCCTTGGATACTAACAAGATATTAAAGTTATCCAGGGACATCTTATCCAAGAGATCTTGTAGACATCATTATTTATCATCTATTTATCATCATCATCGGACATGACTATGTAAACTCAGCTCATGGGACTTATTAAGCAGACATTCTTTCTGGGGCCTTTAATGCGATACTCAATCCGTGACAAAATTATAACATTGCTTGGAAACGAAAAAATGGCAGCCCAAAGGTCAATTGCTTAAATGTAAATAAACATTTCCAATAATGTTGAAAACGCAAGCAAATTTAAATTCTTTCAGTTAATATATTCCGCTACCGTGCACAGGCAACTATAAAAAAGCTGTTAAAACAAATAAATGTGCTCTAGTCGGAAGTGTCCTGAGCCCGGCGACAAGCTAACTTTACAAACATAGCGTCCTTTTATTCATAAACAAAAGCACACACGTTCATACTTTATGCAGGAGCAAGTTTTTCCTACATTCCTACGTTTAAAATAGCAAGTCTCTAGCTCGTATAGTCTCTAAGATATCCGGCTTCATATATGCGGACATGGCTAAATCGACACGACTTATGCTGATCAAGAATATATATATACGGCTTACGAAGTCGGAGTTGCCTTCTTCTCCCTTCTACGTACAATTCCACAAAACCATTTTAGCTGCAAACTTTTTCTAAATTAAATGTCAACTGTCGAATTAAAATTACAAACATTAATTGATATTAATTTGAACACTTATGATAATTGGTAAATGTATGAAATATGCAATTTATTGATAATATATCAAATAATGACAAGCAGATTAACTTGTCATAACATAGGAAAGAGTTATGTTCAGTAAAAAGGCCAATTACTTATGTATTACAAAAAAGTAATCAGTGTAAAAACAAAAACAGATCTGATCAACAATGCAACATATTGAACTTAAAACATTAACTTTGAAAATGTTTTGTTAAGACCCGCTTTACTTGTGGTCCAATCCACTCGGCAAACAAAAGGTTGCTTGCTTTTGTTTGATAACAAAAACGTCGGATAAATTACCTATATTGAGTAGGCGGGTATCAGAATTAATTCAAAGCTTATGCCAAGCTAACGCAAAGTCTGCCATAATCTGAGGCTAGACAGGAGTTGTCAAGCCAGATGGGCACACGATAAGAGCCCCATCCAGCCACAGCCACAGCCACAGCAGCAACAAGAATGGAATACATACCTCTGCCATTGGCAAAGCTTCTGTTGATGTAGCTGTTGGGTCGCTGACAGCGCTGCCGTCACCATGGCTGCCATTAAGGACGACACACGCCAGCCGAGTGACGCCTGCCTATGTTAAGGAATTCCGTTTCCGGCATCGCGTATACGCGCCGTGAGCCGACATCGGGGCGCATCTTAATTGCCGAAATATTTGCTCCGCCTTCGATGATTCAAATTTTTACGGACTTCTTTCACAATTTACAGCGCGCTTTGGAACGCAACGTTAGGGGTCGAAACTCAAGCCGAATACCAAATAGAAAATCGTGAAAATCATAGCTTCCGTTCGACTTTTACACCAAACACGTGAGTCTCTAGCAATACGAAAGGCACTTGACTTGCAGCAAAAAGCAAACGGTCAAATGGCCGCTGTAAAGCGTTCTAATTGCGTCTGGCTAAAAGGATTTTCTGCGTACCCTCAAAGTAACCTCGTTTGTGTGTTTGTGTAAGCCGTTTAACTGAATTGTGCGTGTGTCGCAGACACAGAAAGAGACACAGACCGACCGAGTTGCGCACCAGTATTGAGCTAGACAGCCGTCGGGAACCGAAATCAGCTTACAGCCTGCACGGAACTGGGCGACTGCCGTTTGCCTAAAAGCGTACTCCTGTAGGGATCAAGTACACCAACACCGGGTCCTGTGCGACACGCAACACTGGTAAGTGTGTTACATTTACGCTTATAAGCATTCGCAATACGTATACGTCACGTGGCACCTTGCGCGACAATTGTTTCAGCTCAAAAAACTTTTTAAGTTTAACATAAGTGTAAACACAAGTTAAAAGAACTAGCATCCACAAACTTGATAGCTTAATTCATTTTATCTTTAATAAATGCATTTTATACGGAAAAAAAACGTGGAATTCCTTCTCTTCCATTTCAACATAAATCCTTAAATGCCAAATATTTTGACTTTAATTGAAGAACCTTAAATATTTAATCTAGGAATAAGCTGATCCTTTTCAAAGTCTATTCCACTAAAGATAGTAAAAAAAATGGCTTAGAACGGACTTTCTTTATAAAACATCAATTTCTGAATAATTATTACTTTATGAGTCTTCTATTAGGAGCTATATAATATCGTTTTCCGATTTAATACGTAGTTATATGTTATATATTTGATAAAGGTTCGGGGGATCTCCAAGTCGGGCACTTCCGACTCGAGCACTCTAACTTGCTTTTATTTATTTGTTTTTGTGTACATCTTTATCAATCTCTTCGGCTTTTGCCACCCACTCGACAGCACCTGAATAATGCAGCCACACACACGTACGCAGACACACGTCAGATAACTCACATTGGCGTTGAAACGCATAAATTTCAAGAACTCTGACGTAACCTGGCGTTGTTATAGTGCTGCTTGTTAGCCAAATAGTCCCGCTTGTTATGACAATGCTCCTCCACTTACCATTTAGCCTCCTCGTGTACGCTATTGTGGACCGCTCACACTTCAAAACAGAAGCGATGGCAGAATCCACTTGATGAACAAAATGGAACTCACAGCACAGAAAACTGAAAAGAGACACGCGCAAAATGAAGACAGAAAGTCACACAAAAGTTGGGTTGACAAATTTGTGAACAAATAACAAATGTGCTCCGCCAACGAGAAGATTTCACAAAGTGGCAGAGTAACCCAGTGCTGCAAACGTGAAAAGCGAAATTCTTATGAACTTCTTCAATAACATAAACTCCAGCATAAATATCTAACAAACTCTGTCCAGAGTTTACTGAACCGAGCTTTAGGAATGTATGTGATTTGCATGCCATTTGGCAATTAACATTCGAACTTGACGATGGGCAGCCTTAGGTGGGGCTGCATTTCAATTAGCTGATGTGTGAAAATGTGGCCCAAATTAATAAACCGACTAGACAGAATGGGCGCGACAGCATTGTGAACGAAATAACCATAACTAGGCAAACTTGATTAAATTAAATTAATTGCATATATCTTTAATTCAAAATTGATCAAATATGTTTTACAGAAATCAACTTGAAAACATGGCTGATTATAAGTAATTTTTAATTTAAAGCGAAAAATGGTTAACTAACAGCTAAAATCATTTTATTTCATGCACTCTTAAACATATTTTTGTCTGGAATGCTTAAAATTAAAATCTCAATTTGTTTCTCTTTCAAAATTGTTAATGGAAGTCGCTTGATTCAACTCCTTAACTCAAACGCATTTCTATTTCATCTTTCGCTCTGGAAGCCATCACCTTGGTCTCTGCGCATTCAACGCAGAACTATGTTTCAACTTCTTTGGTAAACTTTTGCTGTACATATATTCAGCTCAGACTTTCCAACTTGTCACATACAGCGCATAAATCTACACACACACAGACACACACTATCACACACGCCTATCAGCATGCGACAGCAACAAACTTTTATACTATTTTTTGTTTTATTTGCACTTTGGAGCGGAGCCCACAACTTGCCGCCATGAACGAGGGGCGGTCAAAATGGCAAGTGAAACATTTGTTTTCGCTGCCGTTTACAACTTCCGGGTTGGCTTTAAATGGCCTCAGCGGCCATTTTAGCATAGGCGCGCCCCATAGTATGCAACGAAATGCGGCACTTTAATAAAAATACGCAACGAGAAAGCCGCAAGGGAACACGCTCACATATGCTAGAATTTCAGTTAGCCATTGCAAATGAAGTTAGTTGTAGCTGTCGCAGTAGGTGGTTTGGAGCGTCACGGCTGGTAATCATTTGACTTGAACATGTAGGCAACGTGTGTCCATGCCAGACAAAAAGCAAGCTCAATGACATTGTGTTCTGCACAATTCCTCTTGGATTTCTTTTGTCTGCTGATGAAATGGGCTCAGTTATCCTCGTTTACTCTTGCATAAAAGCACAAATGTGCTAAAATGTTAATCAAATCAGTCATCGAGAAGCAGGATGCTTTACAAATAGAAAACAATATGCCATTTGGACGACCATTGTTCTAAACTGCAATGAAGCAAGCCGGTGCAGGTTGAATATACAAATACACCATTCGATTGAATTCGCATTGGGACCAATTGAAGACCAAACAGCCAGCCACTTCTTGAATATCAACTTCACTTTTCTATTCGATAGAAATATAAGCTCCATTTAAAACGCAATTTGTAAAATTAAAGACATTCATCCAAGTAAATTTTCATAGAGTAAAATTTCATTACGCAAATCAAAAATTCCTGTCGGATGCTCATTAATGGACCATTTTACAAATTGTGTTAAATGATTTGCGTGTTCTGCTATTTCTGCAGCTCAGGTGCTCTATTCATTTTAAATGCATGATTTCCGTTGAATTTTTAACCTATTTACTCTGCCTGGGTACACCAATTGAAATGTGTTTATTACAAATTTATTATTTTTCAATAATTTTCCTTTCGCGAAAAAAATCGTCACATTTTTTTTCGGCTCAAAGTTTTTTTGCATGGAGCATTTTTCCGAACTTGATTGTCGTTTTTTTATTTTTATTTGAACATATTGAATGAAGCATTCGTCACGTCCCATGTAACATACGTAAATAAAAGAGAATAACAATTTTATAGTAGCATTGTTTAATCTACAAGCAAATAACATATACAATAAACAAATTGTATGATATTTAATCAAGGGAACTGAAAAAATGCTTAAATAAATTTGCATTGTATTTTTTGTACATGTTTAAGGCAGCTTTTGTGAAGCAAACGAAAAAATGGAATATAAAATTATATAATAAATAAAATAATCAAATCAATATATTAAACAATAAGGTAAAAACTTATTTCAATTTTTTTTCATATAGTTCAAGTCTCTATTTAAGACTTTTAAATTAAATTTTTTAAATAAATTTGAAATATATTTGCACCTAGAAAAACGTTTCCATAAGAAATAGAAGATCGGTTGACGAATGTTATCCGCACAAAAAAGGAATATATAATATATTATGCAAAAAAAAATATATATATGCAGATGTTAAAGTTAAAATGTTCTAGTCAATGTATTAAAGCTCGAAGTTACCCTGCTATACTCTACTCATACATACATATTTTATACATAATACATATTTTATTAGCACAGTTAAAATAGCTTTTAACTTAACAAATTTAAAATTTAATAATTCAGACAAAGTTATTTAACATATTCTGCTGAATCTAATTGCATGCCCTGCACTGTAAGGTCTGTTTACTTCGGGTACACATCGACACAGTCATATAAGAACGCATATACATACATACACACACACACATACACAGTCATACTCAGTCATATATGCACGCACACACATACACACACACACTTCATCGCTCTCAATCTGCTTTAATGCCATATTAAGGCAGCTGAATGGAATTGAATACGAAAAAAGGCAGAACACACACACATTCACACACAAACACACACACACACACACATACACACACAACCTATATGAATACCAACGTTGCCGAATGCGTAAACAGTAAGCAGCGAACATTGATGGGGGGATGTGGTGTGGTGAAAGCATCGAACGGAAGCAAAACAAAATTTTAAAAATAAAATGGCGCTGTAAACAGACAAAAGAAAAGCATCAAGACAAACGTCAGGGCAGAGCCAACAGCAACAACAGCAGCAGCAGCAGCAGCTGACAGAGCACATGAAGCAAAACAAAACAAAAAACTTGCAACGAATTTTGAGTGGAGCTTTGCCCGTGCGAGCTAACCGACGAGGGAACTGTTGGGTTCAGCTAAGCTGTGCAGGGTATTTTACCGTATTTATGTCTTTTTGAGTTTGCCAGTTGCTTGTTTGCACTGCTTACTCGCATTTGCTTGCTGTGAGCTAATTTATCTTGTCATATATGATCTAATGCTAAGCCACACCCGTGTGCAGCCCGCCCTGTTCCTCGAATTGTCCGATTGTCTGCTTTCATATTTATGGAAGTCACTAACGGGCAGCTACTTTTAATGCACTTCCTTATGGCAACGAATTATCGCAAGGAAAACTGCAACAGCAGCAACAGCATCATCATTTATGCAACCCCCACGCACCACGCACCACGCACTACCCCCTACCACATCCCCTACCTCCATCCCCATCCGCATCCCCATCGCCGTCGTGGGCGACCCAACAATTTTGCAATTTAAAGCAAATTTGTTTTGCCAAGTGATAAACGATGCAATTGGTTGTATTTGAAATGCACTTTTCAATTGTTTATTTAATTACAAATATGTAAATACTTTGATCGATTTCTTCTCAAAAACTCGAGAATTTCAGCTATGTGTTTGCTTTGCTTACAAACTATGATATCGAAATGAAAAAGGTTACACTCTTCTGTTAAATATACATGGATTATCTGCCAGCTATTTTAGATAGCTTAAACAAATTATAGCTCCATAAGTTATATAAATGAGAGAAACGTTTCGTTCGTTTTTTATAGACAATTTTGGTTTACAGCTGGCAAATTATTAAACCTTAACAGTTTCAGTTAGTAAGAAATTTAAAATGATTTATTCATAACATATTTAATTAAATATTCAAAATAGTCGACACTCAATCGCATTAGCAAGTATTTAATTTAAAATATAATTTCGCACTAAGCCCGAAAATATTTATTAAACTCTGCAAATATTTGAATCTAATTGATGCATAGCTAATTACAGTAATTAGTAAACCAATTTTAAATAAAATGCATTTGTATAAAAAGAATATGTA